CTGAAGGAGATGCCCCTCCATGTGAAGTGGCCGTTCCCCGCGGTGCCCCGGCTCACCTGGACCATAGCCAGTAGCGTCGTCATGGGTCTGGTGGGCACCTACAGCTGCTTCTGGACCAGTGAGTGGCCAAAGGCCAAGGCGGAGTCTGTCAGAGGCTGTCAGCCTGGCCAGAGTTGGATTTTGGTTTGGGTACTGGGGGTGTGGCAGGGTCTCTGCTGACACTGGAAGACTCCCCGGGCAGGTCGAGATGAGCAAGAGCTTGAGACTGACTTCTCTTCCCAGAGTACATGAACCAACTCACCGTGCACAACAAAGAAGTTCTGTATGAGCTCATTGAGAACCGAGGCCCTGCCACCCCCCTCATCACGGTCTCCAACCACCAATCCTGCATGGATGACCCTCATCTCTGGGGTAGTGTGCTAGTGTGCTTGGGTTCAGGGAGGCAAAACAGGAATAGGCCCCAGCCAAAGACAGAATAGATTCACTTCTCACCAGGCTCTTTGGAAAACCATGGCATTGTTCGTGGGATACACTGCCTAGCTGCTGGAAGTTTTATGTCTCCCTTAGGATTCCTCCAGAGGATGTTATTTGCACAGGATATCAGAAATTTAGAAGTAATGTGGAAGTGGCCATGTCACATTAAGGGCTTTCCTTTTTCCTAGGGATCCTGAAACTCCGTCACATATGGAACCTGAAATTGATGCGTTGGTGAGAAGCAATAGGCCCCTTGAAGTGGCCCATCCATTTCTGCCCATATTTGCCTTCCTGCTCTGCTCAGGAGTTGGCATCCAAGCAGTCCAGGAAGGGCATGGGTGGGGCCCCACAGGCCCTTCTCTTGAGTCTCATTCTGCATGACAGTGATGACAGGCATTGTACTGGGTGGGGAGAGTTGGGGACAGGGACTAGAAAGGCAGGGATGACTGAGTCTGTTGCTGCTCTAGGACCCCAGCAGCTGCAGACATCTGCTTCACCAAGGAGCTGCACTCCCATTTCTTCAGCTTGGGCAAATGTGTGCCTGTGTGTCGAGGTGAGCTGCTCCTCTGGGAGGCATGTCCAGGCCTCCCTTGGGGGTAAGGAAGCTAGCTGGTGGTCAGTGTCTTTGTAGTAGAAGGAGCCATGGCATGACAGTATGGGTGGCAGAGGGAAGGGAGAAGGATTCCCACTTAGATTCTCTGCAGTAGCCTGAGGATTATCCAGGACTCTAGCATGAGAATTCAAGGAAGCTTTATTTGTTGTCCCTTCTCTATCTACTACTGCTCTTGTGGAAAGGAGTGTGGTATCATCACTCTATGATGGCAGTGCGGTATATGTATTTAAGGCCAGAGGGTTTGCTTCTGGGAGAGCAAACAGACTGGTGGGGTGGGGAACCTGGGATTGAATGATCACTCAGTACTTTTCACAAACCCCTATGTGGAGAATGGGGATCAGATAGGGCTCATATTTTCTAGATAGTAGAAGTCCAAGGTCATAGACTGACTGATCTTGGGCAAATTTAGAATTCAGATCCACATTTCCCTTTCCTCTGGGGAAGCAGATTTCTTTTCAAAGGATGAAAGAAAAAGTCTAAAATTGGGCAAATAAGCCAACGATAGAGCCAGGGGGGTGGTGCACACTTTTAATTCCAGCACTCGGGAGGCAGAGGCAGGTAAGTCTCTGAATTTGAGGCTATCCTAGTCTACAGACCTAGTTCCAAGACAGCCTGGGCTACAAAGAGAAACCCTGCCTTAAAACAGCCTTGTATGGTGGCCTATGCCTATAGTCCCTGTATTTGGGAGGTAGAAGTAGGTGGTTTACCATGAGTTTGAAGCCAACTTGGGCTAGAGATACAGACCCTATCTCAAAAAAAATGTGAGCCCATGTGTGTACACATTGTGTGCCCACATACACACATACAGAGAAATCAAGGGCTGGAGGTGTGGCTTGGGTACAGTTTGTAGCTAGCTGGCAAAGAACCCTGAGTCCTATCCCCAGCATCACAAAAAGTATAAAACAAAAACTAGAAAATGAAACATTAATTTCAAGGACAACAAAGATAATCTAATCACTAGTTGGGAGGCAGGTGATTCTTTGTGAGTTCAAGGCCAGCCTGGTCTACAGAGCAACTTCCAGGAAAGGCTCCAAAGCTACACAGAGAAACCCTGTCTTGAAAAACAAAACAAAACAAATGATAATCTAATTACATGTGAGTAAAACATGTGTTGTGATACTGTTTCTGTGTTAAACAACCATTTTTCTGTAAGCCTAAGACTTTGTAGGTTGACCTTTAAGCACTGAAGTGATTTTACACAAGTAGAAATAGCATTTGCGCCGGGCTTTGGTGGCGCACGCCTTTAATCCCAGCACTCGGAAGGCAGAGGCAGGCGGATCTCTGTGAGTTCAAGGCCAGCCTGGTCTCCAGAGCGAGTGCCAGGATAGGTTCCAAAGCTGCAGAGAAACCCTGTCTTGAAAAAACAAAAAAAGAAAGAAAGAAAGAAAGAAAGAAAGAAAGAAAGAAAGAAAGAAAGAAAGAAATAGTATTTGCAAAAGTTAAAAACCGTGAGCTGCTGTTCCAAAGGCATATTATCCTTTTTACTTTCCAGTTTCAAGCTCATAGGGTATATGCCAGTGGGTTTTGGTAGAGGCGCAAACACCTTTAGTGACCACCCTTGGTATGTACTACCATCCCAAGCAGGTTCCTTGTATCTCTGTTCCCTGAACTCATTCCCACTTCTGGCTCCTGAGTGAGCTGTCAGATCAGGTCCCTTTTGAGGTTGGGCTGAACCCCTAATCACATCTTGTAAACAACAGGCTTACAGTGAGTAGTGAAAAGGCAGTTCTTAGTGTACTGACCTGAGATAGCCTTGATGTTGCTTTGTCTCCTGTGAGATACCCTCCACCCCATTTTATAAGACTAGGATATTTACCCATCCCTTCCCTTTCCTGGTTCTGTCCACCCTATGGTTATTATTTCACTATTGTGGAGAGTCTTACTATGTCCAGATGACTCAAGGTTGCTAGCTAGCAAATGATATTAGGCCTCTACATCTATAGTGTGGCTGAAAGCTGGGCTGCTTGGATGACCCAGGTTTGCACTGTTGCCTTTCCTCAATCCAGTGTGATCATCTTAGAATGTCTCTAAGGTTTTACTAGCCTCAGGGCAGCTTGACTCCTGTTTTCAGTCCCCCTCCCAGACCTTTTTGTTTGTTTTGTGAGACATGGTCTCACATAACACAGGCTGGCCTTGAAATACTGATTGGTCCATCCAAGTTTCCCTGTCTCTTCTGTGTTTTCTGTTTACTGAAGTGTTCTCCCTTGGCCCAGAAAGGTCAAGAAAGGTTGAAGCAATGTCATCCAAAGAGTAGAGAGGCCCAGGAGCTGATCTGGAGCCAGCAAATGGGTGTGCTTTGGGAGGGGTAGGTTCCAGCAGAACAGGCCATAGGGGCAGAGGGAGATGGAGGAGTTACCATGTTATCATTTCAATAAGTGATACTGTCTAGCCAGGTGTCTTGTTGCATACCCGTAATACCAGCACCGGGAAAGCTGAGGATCAGCATAACTTTGAGGCCAGCCTGGGTTACGTAGTAATATCTGTCTCAAAAAAGAAAGAAGGTGCTATTTATACATGACATATACTAAGAGGTTGAGAGGACATTGTTTTCTTTGGTTTTGATATAGGATATTACTCTGTGGTCCATCCTGACCTCAAACTCAACAGCGGCTCTTTTGCCTCAGCCTCCCAAGTGCTGAGATTATAGGCGTGAGCCACCATGCCTATCTTGAGAGGAGGATATGGTTAAACAAAAAATGTGAAGGGTCAGGGTAGCAAGGAGTAACAGGCTCTGGAAATAGTCGTTGAAGGTATCTATGGATGATGATATGGGGGATGAACTGTTGCCTCCATCATAATGAGGATGGATCTGGAGTGGGCCTCAATGTGTGAATCTAATTCACTGAGGTTTGGAGAGCTTGGTATCTATCCCAGAGAATGGATCAAAGAGAACAGACCTTTCTCTGCAGGAGATGGTGTCTACCAGAAAGGGATGGACTTCATTTTGGAGAAACTTAACCATGGGGACTGGGTACACATCTTTCCAGAAGGTCAGTTGGGTGCTTGGTCGGTTGGGTGCTTGGTCAGGGTCCTCTAGCATGCGTGGTTTCAGTTTCCAAGCCTTGTCTCTGTGTTCTCTCACTAGGGAAAGTAAACATGAGTTCTGAGTTCCTGCGCTTCAAGTGGGGTAAGTGTTGCTGGCCAAGCTGACATAGCCAAGTTCCCCATTCAAAGGTGGCCCTGTGGGTCCCTGGCTTTATTCCCCTCTGGTGGGTGTGTCAGGAAAAGTGGGAAGGGGACAGCTAGGAGTCAAGGACTATTCTTTAATTGAGAGACAGTAGAAGTGGACACTGGCCAGATTAGCAGGGAAGCTTGGCCCAAAATGTTTCTGCCTCTCTCCTAAGTAGGAATTGGGCGGCTGATTGCTGAGTGTCATCTACCTCCCCTCACCCTGCCACTATGGCATGTTGGTGAGTCAGGGGCTGGGGGTATGGAGGGGATTTCCTTAGATGTTTTTAAGGGGATTGTGGGTTGTTGGATGGCTGAGAGAAGTGCCTGCCTGGGGCTCTCTCTGGTACCCTGGTACACTGCTTCCCCCAATGGCTGGCTTTCTATCCACTGTGCTACAGGAATGAATGATGTCCTCCCTAATAGCCCACCCTATTTTCCCCGATTTGGACAGGTGGGTAGGCACTGCTGACCCTTGTCTATCTGTCTACTTGCCTGCTATCTGCCCTATGTCTCCTAGCTTGTAATATAAAGGATTGGTTGAGGATTTGCTGAGCATGAGCATGTAGTGAGGGTGGGGTAGAGTTGGTGGGGCTTTTCTGGAAGCAAGGCCTTTAGAATAAGAATTGAAAATTGGGTGGAAGTGCGGGACAAGGTGGAGCAAGACAGTCATTGATAGGATGGATACCAGGATAAGGCTGTTCCTTGGATACCACCAGGCCCCACTGCCTGTTTTGAAGAGGGGGAGTGGCTTTCAGGAGCACCAAGCCCATTGGGCAGGGCATGGCTCTGACTCCCCACATTGTTTGGGCTGGAAATATAGGCTCCTTGTCATCCTTGATGGCCTGCCTCCTTACAGAAAATCACCGTGCTGATTGGGAAGCCTTTCAGTGCACTCCCTGTGCTTGAGCGGCTCCGGGCAGAAAACAAGTCAGCTGTGAGTTTCCAACTAAGGTCCCCTAGCTGTCCTTGACCTTCCCAGCCCCTCAGATTCCCAGGGTACCTCAGTCATAGTCACTGAGGAGTGCAGGCCAGCACCATCCTTGCTCTCAGGTGGAGATTCGGAAAGCCCTCACAGACTTCATTCAAGAGGAATTCCAGCGGCTGAAGATGCAGGCGGAACAGCTCCACAACCATTTCCAGCCTGGAAGATAGGCTTTGCCTACCCAGTCTGTGCCCCAAAGTCCTTAGCCAAGGGAGCATTGGGCCCTCCAGGGTTTGGAAAGTGGTGGTACAGGACCCTGCCCAAGCTTGCTTGGCTCTGTACTGCCTTTGAGTTTCTTCCCTGCACAAAACTGAGGCTGGGAGATGGACCAATGCTTTTAATTCAGATAGATTGGCTCATAATCCCTGCTTTTCTTTCTTCGTTTTGTTTTGAGACAGGGTTTCTCTGTGTAGCCCTGGCTGTCCTGGAACTCTCTTTGTAGGGCAGGTTATCCTCAAACTCATAGAGATCCACCTGCCTCTGCCTTCAGAGAGTTGGAATTAAAGGTGTATGCTACCACTACCTGGCCTGAATACCCTTTCTTATCCTTGAGCATCTGACTCCTCTGGATCTCTTGGGCTAAAAGAAAAGCCTTGGATGTCCCTCACACTTGGCAGAGAAGGGAGGAAGACTTTTAGGCAGGGGCTGGCATTGGAAGGGAGCAAAGCAGGCAGTTGAGTGCCTAGTAGGAGAATAGGTGTCATGGCCATTGATGCAGAAAGAGTACCCAAATGGCCCCTTGGATGGGCTACCACCTGCCTACCTTTGCCCAGGAGCTGCTCACAGCCTCCTCAGGGATGGCTGTCAGGCAGGTCATTCTTCCACCTGAGCTTCTCCCACTGTAAGATTTGTGCTTGGGTGGCCCCAGACAAGAGCAAGTCTTGGCCAGGATTCAAGCCCAGCTAAACTTAACTAGATGTTTCTGTTAGCTGGCAGAAAAAGGGCCCCTAAGACCTGACCATGAACACCCCCCCATATCAGGGCCTACCCACTTCTCTAACCTTTTTGCTTTGACATCCCCTATGTACTGATTTCATGTTTTTAGAGTAATAAAATATCTGTGTTATACCACTATTCCTCTGTCTTCTGTGTAGGAATGCTGAGTACTGAGAAGTACTTTGCTGGACAAGTAAATAGGACCCTTGAGTCTGTATATAGTGAGATCATTTAAATAGATTGACATTGGTATCTCACTGTACACTGGCCACTCAAGACATCCATTATCACCTGTAAGCCCCATGACAATGTGGCAGGAGTAGAGATTCATAATAGTGGCAAAACAAGATTAATAAAGTAGCATGAAAACCTCAAGTGAAGTCAGACATGGTAGTACACATCTGTGATTTGAGCATTAGGGAGGCTGAAGCGGGAAATGTTGCCACATGTTCAAGGTTGGCCTGTGATACTAAATGAGAGATTAAAAAGAAAAAAATTAAGTCAACCATGGGAGGCAGAAGCAGGCACCCTTGTAATCCCAGTACCTGGGAGAAAGAGGACAACAGATCTCTGAGTCTGAGACCAGCCTGGGCCACAAAACAAACAGTTTCAAACAAATAGTAAGGCAGGCATGGTGACAAATACCAATAATGCTTGCATTTTGGAGGTGGAGTCAGTAAGAGTAGGAATTCAGATAATCCTTGGCTATGTAGCAAATTCAGAGCCTTTCTGGGCTATCTGAAACCCTCTCCCAAAAAATTAAAAAATGAATATAACCTTCAGCCAGGCATGGTGGCACAAGCCTTTAATCACAGAACTCTGGAAGCAGAGGCAGGATCAGAAAAATTCAAAGTTGGATGTTGGTGGCTCACACCTTTGATCCTAGCACTTGGGAGACAAAGGCAGGTGGATCTCTGAGTTCAAGGCCAGCCTGGTCTACAGAGCTAATTCTAGGACAGCCAGGACTATTACACAGAGAAACCGTGTCTCAACAAACAAACCACCACCAACAAAAAACAACCCCCCTCTCCCCCAAAAAAAAGAAAAAAGAAAGGGCTGAAGATGTGGCTCAATGAGCACTTACTTAGAATGTGTGATGCCCTGAAGCCTGGGTTTAATTCCAACCCTTAAAAAATCAAAAAATAAAAGAAAAATGTTGACTAAAGAGAGGAATACCCCCACCCCAGGAATGTGTCCGTCCTTGTGTATATGCTGGTACAAATGTGTCTGAACTCATTATGTAGCCAAGGATGACTTGTAACTTCTGCCTCTACCTTCCAAGTGCTGCTGATTACATAGCTGTGTCACCATGCCTGGAAAGGTTTATAACTCTTATTTTTATTTTATTTATTTGTATTTATTGTTTTTTTTCTGAGACAGGGTTTCTCTGTGTAGTCCTGGCTGTTCTGGAATTCACTCTGTAGACCAGGCTGATCTCAGACTGATCTCTGCCTCCCAGGTACTAGGATTACAAGTGTGCGCCACCACCTCCTGGCTACTCTCAGTTTTTAATTTTGAGTCAAGGTCTCACTTAGCTCAGGCTGGCCTTGAACTCCTTATGTAATCAAAGCTGGCTTTGAATCCCTTATCCTCTTGCCTCCAAGTGCTGGGGTCACAGGCAGTTACCAACATGTCCAGATGAGTTTATTACTTTTTGGTTTTTTGAGACAGGGTTTCTCTGTATTGTTTTGGAGGCTGTCCTGGAACTCTGTAGACCTGGCTGGCCTCGAACTTGCAGAGATCCACCTGCCTCCGCCTCCCGAGTACTGGGATTAAAGGCGTGTGCCACCAACGCCCAGCCCCAACAAACACTCAAACATTCTTATGTTATTTTTTTACTATAAGATGTGCCAAATAAATAATGTATTAGTTCCCTAGGGTGCTGTAGCAAAGTGTCACAAACTAGCTAGCTTAAAACAAAACAGTTCTGTTCTTGTTTTTAAAGATTTATTTATTTAAAAAATGTATTTATTTATTGTTTATACAGTGTTCTGCCTGCGTGTATGCCTGCAGGCCAGAAGAGGGCACCACATCTCATTACAGATGGTTGTGAGCCACCATGTAGTTGCTGGGAATTGAACTCAAGCCAGTGCTTGTAACCGTTGAGCCATCTCTCCAACCCAAAACATAGTTCTTTTCTGATAATTTTGTAGACTACAAGTCGCAAATCAGGGTGTTGGTGGAGCTGAGTTTGCTCTGAAGGCTCTAGGAGAGAGTTGGTTCTTGCTTCTCTCTTCTCAATTCCTGATGAGGGAAATCTTTATATATCCTTGGCTTGTAGCTGCATTATGGCAGTCTGTCTGTTCATCTGTCCTTCTGCCCTGTCTGCATCTATGTTTTCCTCTTTTGCCTAGCATAATGGCATGTGACATTTAGAGGAGTTGAAAGCAGGAGGACCAGGAATTCCAGCACTGCCTACATAGTGAGTTTGAGGCCACCTTGGGCCATGTGAGTCCATCACAAACAATAAATTCCTTCCTTCCTTTCTTCCTCCCTTCCTTCTTTCTTTTTTGTTGGTTTTTTAAAGACAGGGTATCTCTGTGTAGCTGTGAATCCCTGGCTGGCCTGGGATTCGCTTTGTGGAACGAGATGGCCCTGAAATCTTAGAGATCTGCCTGCCTCTGCCTCCCAAGTGATGGGATTTAAAGGCATCCACCGACACCACTCAGCAAATTTCCCTCTTATCATATTATAATGACAGCAATCATCAGACTGTGGCCCATCCTTCCATATTCCGAGTTTAGCAGTCAATATGAGTTTATTATAAATGGATTACATATGCAAAGTCCTTGTTTCCAAACTAAGATGCATTTACAATCTCTTGGGGGTTGCAACCCACAGGGTGAGAACCGCTGTCCTAGATTAATTACGTCTGGAGAGTTCAAGATTTGGTTGTACTCTTCCTTTTTCTTTTTTCTTTTTGTTTGCAGTACTGTGGGAATGAATTTAGCATTTATAAAGTAATCAACAGACTAGGAAATAAAAATGGCACGGAAATGTGGGCATGTTTGGTGGCTCACAATTTTTTTTGGCTCACAGTTGTAATCCTAGTACTTGAAAGGTTGAGGTTTGCATAGTGAATTTTGTTCATACCACAACTCTGTCTCAAAAAAAATCAATTTATTTATGCCAGTGACTTCCATTTTCTGTCAGTCCTTCCTTTAAGGCAAATCACTCAGAAGGAAGGATAATCCTCCCACGGGGAGTCTCCCCTAATTTACAGTGGGATCTTCCTTGGCAAAGTTGGAAAGTGTTGCTAAGTAAAAAAAAAAAAAAAAAAAACAGTGTTCTGCTCTCATGGTATTTATTACCTGCCTTTTAGTGGCGAATGACACTGACATTGTTAGTTAATGTTCTCCTTCAGACCCGGTTACCGCCTGGGTTTTCCCCTCCTTTCTGAAACTGCATTTGTTCTCTTTTTCTAGATCCTTTTCCCTTCTACCCATTTTAAGCTCTGACTATTGTTCCCCTGATGGTACAATGGACCCTCTTCTCATTCTAAGGGATTGCAGTTTTCATATGTACCAGACAGAGGGTCTATTTTTAGAAAAAAGATCCAGTCATGCGACTTTAAGACGAAAACAGAAAAAGACAAATACTAGAGAACAGGGCTCTGTCTCCCCACCCCGCCTAGCTGAGCTAGGTAGCAGCTGGTAGTGCTCGGCCCCCCGCCTCCTTTCTCACAAGGAGCGTGCGCGACTGGAGACACGTATAGCCAACCAGTGAGAAAGAGTGGTCATGAGTGCCAGGATTTTGACCCAATTAGAGGA